TGCTGAAGCCGCCTGGTTTCCACACCACTGTAATATATCTCTTTAATAAAATTTTACTTTTAAGACGTTGTGAGGCATGTCTTCAACACAGCTGGTAAGAAACGCGAGTCTAAAAACTTGATCTAAAAATACTTTCAATGTGTGAATGGAAAAAGAATTGACAGCGGCAACAAGGAACAGTGTTTCTAGGGCAGTTATTATGCATCATTACCTTGGCAACAACACAGCAGGTCAGTAGTCACAGCAGAAGCAAACAGAATCGGACTCTGCCTGTTTGACCAAGTACATGTCTGGAGCTTGTTTTGTAAGCAAATTTTGTCATTCTTTTTGGGAACTGATTGATTGTAGACCAAGCTTATTTTGTGGATAATTTTGTGGATGTATTTTTAGGTGCAGAAATGTATAAGTAGGTTTTTGTAGGTGGTTCATTTTTGACTGAAACACCACAAGTGTGTAAGATGGTGGGGGGAAAAAAAACCCCCAAAATTACAAAAATTATCAGTTGAAAGTAAAAAAAAAAAAAAATTCAAGATTTTTGGGGAATTTGTTATACCCTGCATGAGCAAAGTCAGTCCAGTGTGATAACATTAACTAGCATTTTCGGGAAAAAGGAAATACTTTCCGGGTCACAGTGACTGAAACTGAAAGGGTCACATGACTGAAACATCTCGGTTAGGTATGTAATCTTGGTTCCCTGAATACGGAACAAGATGCTGCGATGACGTCATCGCTTTGGGAACACCCACGGTGTGACGAATGTCTGAAGCCCTTATATCATCACGCTAATTTATTGCCAAATAGCACCTAGCACCGCCCCTCACGCATACGTAACGTATGCTATATCTGCGTGCCGCGTGCTATTTCATCAGATTTCCATATATGACGAAGGAAGCGCTATCAAGGTACGGACGACCCTCATCGCAGTCTCTCGTAGAGTGAGCACGTAAGGCGAAGTGCGAAGTCAAACCACGCGCCTTGTAGGCCAAAGAGATAGCCTCTACTATCCAATGTGACACTTAGAGACAAGAGACAGCGGAGCCGCTGCTCTTGCCACCAAAACATACAAACAGCTGGTCCGATCCACGCCACTGAGCTGTGCGATCTACATAGATTCTTAATGCCCTGACTGGGCAGATACCCATGCTACCTGACCCCGCGTCAGCGTGGGAGAAAGCCTCTAAGACCACTTGCTGAATGCGAAATGGATTTGAAGCGACCTTAGGAACATAATCAGGCCTAGGTCGCAATAAAACTTTTACCAACCCTGGGGCAAAGTCCATACATGAAGGGCTGATGGATAGAGCCTGCAAATCCCCTACTCTCTTGGGGGAGGATAAAGCCAACAAGAGAATCGCCTTGAGAGTCAGCAATTTCTCGGACACAGACTCCAACGGCTCAAAAGGATGGCCCGACAGACCTTACAGAACGATCGATAGATCCCAAGAAGGAACTCGGGTCGGGCGGAAAGGCCTAAGCCGTCTCGAACCTTGCATAAAATGTGAAACCAAAGGATGACGACCCACTGAAACACCTCCTATGAGTGTATGTCCCGCAGATATGGCCGCTACATACACTTTGAGAGTAGCGGGGGTCACTCCTTCAGAAAAATACACGGCACCCCTGCTCTCGACAGACGGCACCCCAGGGTGCCGCAGCACCCCGGTTGGGAAACACTGGTCTACACCACGAGGGAAAAAGTCTCCACTTGAAAGCATATAAGTGTCTTGTGGAGGGAGCTCTAGAATTAATAATAGTGTTAGTAGTCCCAGTCGAGAGACCAGAACACATTAACGCATTCCGCTCAGGGGACACACCCATAGCCTCCATAAATCCGGTCGAGGGTGCCAAATCGTGCCCCGAGCTTAAAAACTTTCTGAGAGCCAGGAAGACTGCCAGTAGTTCCAAACGATTTATGTGCCAGTTCCGATGTTCCTCTGACCAAACTCCCCGGACTGGACGTCCTTGATGGACCGCTCCCCAGCCCGTCAGGGACTCGTCCATCGTGATAGTTTTGCGACGAAGACACGCCCCCAGTTGGACTCCTTTCTGAAGGAACTGGGGTCTTTTCCACGGCTTTAGAGCACGAAAACCTCTGCGTGTCACCGTAATTCTGTGAAGCGGATGACAATAAGGTGAAATGTTCTGGCTCTTGGTCCACCACTGAAACGGTCGCATGTGGAGCAGGCCCAGCTATCAGACCCAACAGTCTGAGACACAAGCCTACATGGACTAGGCACCCTGTCTTGAACTGACTTAGACAGGTTTGCAATGACTGCACACGTGTGGGAGACAGACGTGCCCGCATCGTGCGAGAATCCATGTCTACCCCCAAGAACGTTGTTCGCTGGCGTGGCAGCAGTACACTCTTTTGTGGGTTCGCCCGTAGTCCTAGGCTCCGTAGATGATCGAGCACTAAATCTCGATGTATCCGTGCCTGATCCTGGGATTGGGCTAATATTAGCCAACCGTCCAAGTAGTTCAAAATTCGGATGCCCTGGAGCCGA